AACAGACCAGTACCCAAAAACCTATTAAGGAATGTTTACATTTGCTTATTAAGAACATCAAAAATGAGGAGCAATCCAGATACCCTATAGTGCATGAACAATTAAACTGTAGTGCATTCAGACCATGGAATACTACTCAGCAATCAAAACAGACTGCATTTAGATGAATCTTCAGTGAGATAGGCTGATAGGCAGTACAAAAACAGTTGCACACTACACAATCTCACATAGAAAATATGGAAGACATAAAGCTTGTGCTCTGTGCATAAGATCTGTTGAGCTCCCCATGTGATGTTGGTGGAATGTGGGATGTCATACATTGGAATGGCATTGAGGACTTTGTATCTAGGTCTAGCATGGCATGTGTGTGGAGAATGTGTGCATCCGTGGTGTGCAACTGTAAGTGTGAGGTATGTATGCCTGCCCTTGCTAACTCTGTCCTCCAAAAGTTGAGAATCTTCATAGTTCCTAAAACTTGGTCCAACACCTCAAACTTTCACCTTTCTGGGCACTCACTTCTGGCTCCCCACACTATAATCTTTCTGGAATCCTGCCTTCCTACATGAGCTCCTGTCCGTGTTTCCTTCACAGCCACAAATTCTACCTGGGCTACTCCCCAGCTCACCCACCACCTCCAACTGCCCTGGGATCCCTTGTCCTTGTGCTTCAATCTATTTGTTTCTTACACTTTGCCCAGGGTCCCCATTTCCAAGAAGCCTCAAACCCAGATATATTCGCAGTCTCACACCCAAGGAGCCCTGTACTCTTACTACCACAGATGAGCTTGGCAAGCTTAGATGGAGAAGAAACACACGAGAAGTATTCAGAGCCAGAGGATGTCTCCCCAATACCCGGGGTCTGGTTCCAGGCCACTGCACTTGATAGAGCCTGAGGAGCATCTTCTGGGGACTTTGAGGGCCCTGAAAAAGGCATGGAAGACAGAGAGACCTGGTGAGTCATTTTGTTCCTACATCATGCACCTTTTCAGAAAGTATTTACATGGTGTCTGACATATGTCTGTCAGGTAGAGTAAATATACGTAACTTGTAATCAGGTTCCTGTGGGCACCCCAGTATTTATGTGCAGCTCACATTTCATTACAGTTTTGGTAAGAATGCAGGCCTGTGTAATGACTGTGCACTGTAAGAGGGATGTACATAAAGGATCCTTTGATAATTGTGGGGTCAGTGTGGTGAATGTGGTGGACACACATCTCTGTCTGTGGAGAATTTGTGTCTATGTTTAATGTTCACAACTTGGGAAATTTGAAATATGTTAGTTTTCCTAATTATATGACACAGCTTGTATTTCTGCTGTCCATTCACTCATTTATGAAAGCAATATGTAATAGGCACCTGTTACACTATTCTTCTAGGTGCTCAGAATACTGAGCAAGATAGTATCTCTTCTGAGTGGAACTCCCAATGTGGTATGGGAAGACAGCTATAAAAGATACCAGATTTCACAATTAATAAACCTAGCACCCACTTAAATTTGAGTTTCAGATAAGTCACAAGTAATTTTTAGTATACATATGTCCAGTGGAATATTTAGAACATACTCATGTTTAAAAAAATGATTTAAGGCTCACCTAAAATTTAACTTTATTCTTTGTGTGTTATCTGCTAATTGGAAGAAGGGGGATAAGGGAGGTAAGTCTTTTATTATGCTTTGCACAAAGTAATGTGAGCCTGGCATTTTACATGCTGCATGATGCATAGGGCACAGTGCCACATGAGGGTGGTCCTCACATAGATATTTAGAGATAGTTTAAGATAGATCTGTTTATATGGACCAAATCGATAAACACAAATGCAGGTATGCACACAGACATGGACACACCTATACACACACACACACACACACACACACACACACCTCCAGCATTTAGTATAGGAAAAGATGATGTTCTACACCTGGGTTTTACATGGCATAGCAAAGGGATATATATAAAGGGATGATATGTTGTGTGGAATTTAATACACCAATTTTGGGAAGAGATGTGCACCATTTTCTAAGTCAGAGTGAATATGTGTGTTTGTGTGACTATTTGGTGGAAGGCCCTCAACAAGAGTTGCGTGTACACTGGCCCATGTATTAAGTACACTCAGAACTGGGAATAGAAGTAGGAACATCGCCCTGAGCACTTCGCAGCTGCTGACCACTCCACTCCATTATCACCACAGCTCCTCTCCTAACACACAACTGGACAAAGCATTCTGAGGTAGAGATGTAGGTAGCGGAGAGGAAAAACACTGTCTTCCTGCTTCCCGAGAAATTCCACTCCAGGCCTCCACTTCCAGGCCTCATTCTAAAGTCCTCAAGACCTGGGACCTTCGGGAAGTGGCCAAGTTCTAACTTGGTTAGATCCCACTGACATGAAAACTGTCAGGAAAAGGTGCCCTTGAACCCACACAAGACTACACTCAAGTCAGCTGCACGAAAGAAGCAGTTTATTGACAGCAACTAGCATGTGCCGGGCTGCTCAATGGACCTGAACAGCAGCAATGGCTGGGGAGGCAGGGACTTTATCGAGTGTGCGGGAATGGGGGAAAGGTGAGTAATAAAGGGTCCCTGGCTGGGCCAGGGTGTTCTGAGCACAAAGTATAGAGTCCTTGAAGCAAGCTGAAACAAAGCTATACACATAAGCAGCCAGACTCAGACAGCCAAGGTTAAATCTTTGCAGCACGGTTGTGGATGGCACATCCAGGAACATTGAAAGCTTGTGGGGGAAGGGGCCAACAGCTAGGTGCAGTAACACCCACCAGCTGGATCTCTGTGGTGGGCTTCACTGGCCCCACCTCCTCCACATGACTCGCTCCTTCTGGGGGCAATCTACTTGCTTATATTCACTATGTGCAGTGATCGCACACCCGGGGAAGCGCATTCACATCTCGCGATGTCTTCTGCTTGCCCATGGTCTGTGTATGCCTCCCAATATACCATCCACTCCTTGCCCTTTGTTTTATTCCCTCTGGGAATTTTTAATCCCATGCATTCACAAACTTCAGTAGACCAATTAATCAATGCTTCCTGCTAAAGATGAAACTTCTATGTGTTCAGTGTGGAAATATTCCAAGACAGTCTGATTTCTCAAATTATTATTCAAAAGGTCTTCAGGGTCCTGAGTGACTCATTCCCCTTTCTAAAAATGGAAAACTCGCAGATTACATTAGTATTCTTCACAGCTCCCAATCTGGTGAACCCGAGACAAAATCAAATAAATAGAGTAAGAAAGAACATGGATTTCTTAGTTACTTTTCTAATTGCTGAGACAAAATCCCCAACACCCACAAGTTGAGGGAGGAAAGGTTTATTTGACTCATAGTGTGTAGTGGATTCAGTTCATTGATGTTGGATGGTTTAAAGACAGGGTGGCTTGGCAGAGGGGCATCACAGAGGAGAAACAGTGCATGAAAAAGCAGGGCAAGCGGAAGCAGCAAGCAAGCAACAAGTTATAGCCCTTTCTGTCCCTCCTATCCTATTAAGGGTTGGGCACCCTTAATCCTATGCAAAACAATGCCAAATTGGTAGGCTAATTTATTAATCACACCTCTTTGATCTCAGCCTCACACACTCTAGATCCAGCCACCCCTGAATAGCTACTTCTATGACCCCAGGAGGCTTTGGGTGGGCATCTGACACAAGCCATAGCAATGGGAATTCAGAAAAGCTGCCATCCCTGACCTGTGTAGCTCTGACATCAGTCTGCCAGGAGCCCATGGAGATGCCAGCACCCATGCAGGAGTTCACAGGCCAGCAAGGCTGACTTTCATTTGCCATGGAGAATCTTGACTTCTGTGCCATTAAAACGCCCCTTGGCATGGATCTCACAGGATCAGTTACTATCAGGTCTCTTCCTCTTTATATTGCTTTATATTGCAAATATTCTTCTCATCAATTCTGCCTTCCTAGGGAAGGCTCAGGATAGTCAGTATGCCACACTACAAGACCAGGATGTAGCACGTACCTCCTTGTTTCTCATCAGAATCCTCATTTTCAATATGTTTCCGCTTTTGTCGTCGTTTCATAGTGTCAGCTGGGAAACAGAACCTTGGAAGATACTTAGTGTCCAGCTGCCCCTTTTCCCTCCAGGATGGCCTTCTTGGCACTCATGAAATCCAGTGAGATGATTTAACACATGTAAATGTAGTAAAGTCTCCTAAATGGTTGAAGAGTTCAGACCACTTGGAGAACCAGCAGCCTCGCCGGTTGCCTACTACACTGCAGGGTTGGCTAGGTGCGAAGGTTGGCTTTTCTGACCTCAGTGATGACATCAGAGCACCCTGCGGAATTCAAGCCAGCAAACATTCTACAAGGCAAACACCTTCCTTTCAAGAACAATTGCTTTTTCTCTGTGGAATCTCTATAATGAGGTCAACTCTGGTCTTTCAGTGTGCCAAGAAATATTTTGTTGTTAACATGATTCTAATGAATTTTTTTTCTTTTTTCCTTTGTTTCACCATTTCCTTTCTGTTCTTAAGCAAAACACATGCTCTGTGTTCATTGCTCAGAATAGGACAAAAAAGTAGTTGAAAGTAGCAATGGTTTGCAGAAATTCTTGATTTTAGTTCTAAAATCACAAAATTTATTTCAAAGACATTCTGATACAGAAATATGACACAGCATGATCTTTAGATTACACATTCAGACCCTACTATGTTTTTGAAGAGATATTAAAATTAGGTTGGGGTGAGAGATTTGTGAGCCAAGGGGAGGAGTGACCCTGAAATGTGGCTGGAGACTGGCCACAAATTCCAAGAGGAAACTGTTGCATGATGCATACAAGTAGGATGACAGCCACCAGGCCTGCATGGCTAAGCAGTCATTAACCTGAAACAAAGGAAAAAAGAAAAACAATATTCAGTAGAATCATGTTAACAACAAAACATTTCTTGTCACACTGAAAGGAGTCATGGCAACCAAGCTGACAACATCTAAGCAAATGGATATGCTGCAATAAGCAGTGACCACACCCTTAACCCATCCCAAAAACACAGCCCTTGTGATTTCCAAATAAGAACTAGTGGGGATCCAGACAGGCTGCCAGTAGAATAAAGGTTTAAATTACAAGTTGTGTAGATTTGCTGAAAAGCAACATTTTGCTGACAGGTTAGATGTTCTCTAGCACTAGGATCCTGCATGCCTGAATCATGTGCCCCATCAAATGAGCCCCAGTTTATCTGTCCCTGGGCTAAACAAATGAACATGTGCAGACATGGCAGGTTAAGAAGAAGCCTAGACCCACAGAAAAGCCAGCATGATCTCTGCCCTTCTATTGAGACAGACCTCTTTTTAGATTTTTAAAAGACTCCACAGTGTTTCAGCTTTTCTTTGGGGAGTATGATCTGATACATTCATGTGAAAAATTCTCTGCTGCTATGGCAAAGCTCAGACATGGAAGGTATCACACAAACCAGGGAGAAAGTGGATGGTCATATAACAGTGAGGAAGAGAAACATATGCTACCTTGATTCATTTCCTTTCTGAAGTAAATAGTGCTAGAAGGAGGAAGGAACCAAGGATTGAAATTTACACTATGGACTCATCTTGCAGCTGTATGGCCAGAATGACTTCCCCCAGTGCTTCCATCTGCTATCCTCTGCCTTCCTCCAGCCACAGAGTGTCAACATCCAAATTCCTCATGACCTCAGAGGTGTCCAGGGAAAGTGCCCAGCGGGCAAATACAACTGCTCAGGAATGGTATTCTCCATCCTGAAGCTGCAGTCTGTAAACACTGATTATCACGGGTCAAAGAGTAAGATGAGAGGAACAAACTAAAGGCAATGGAAGGAAACTTAATCTTACTTTATGTTCTGAATTGTTAGAGTTTTGGAGGAGGTTTCTTTCTTTTTTTGTTTGGTTGGGGGGTTGTCTTTTTGAGGCAGCTTTCCCTATGCCATTCAGGTTGACCTTAAGCTCACTCTGTAGCCCAGACTAGTCTTGAATTCACAACAATCCTTCTACCTAGCCTCCCAAATGATGAGATTATAAATGTGTGCCACCATACCTGGCTGAACTGCTAGACTTTTGCAAAAAGGTACTAAAATATAATTTGTGTAGAGAAAAGTATATACATAATGAGAAAAAGAGGAACCTTTCCACCTCTAGGAAATTGACAACAGTCATGAAACAGAAGATACCAAAATATACCCCTACACATATCAAATAGGTTAAAAGCAATTCTCTAAAACTCTATATCATATATATAAACCTGGAAAATCATGCAAAATTGACCTACTCAAAAGGCACAAACTACCCACAACTCACTGAATATGTAACACAATGAATAGCCCTATAATTATGAAAAAAATGAAATTTCTAATTGTTAAGTTTCCAAATAGAAAGTATCCATGACTTCATGACTCCACTGGAGCATTACAATAAACACATAAAAAAGAATTAATACCAAGTCTACGAAACCTTGATAAGAAATTGATTCTTTTTTCAACCTTGTCTTGGTTCTCTTTCCATTTGCAAGGATCTGTCCTTCTACTTTGTATTTGCTGTTTTATTTACAGTTTAGTTTTCTCATATAAAAGAAACAACATGCTATATATGTTTGTGTGTCTAATTTACTTCATTTAACTTTATGGTTATTACTCACTTAACAAGGTGACTCAAGCTCATCTTCTTTATCACAGAGCAGTACTCCTTTATGTGCAGCAAATACCTCCTTTACTGTAATCATTCATCCATTGACAGATATGTAGGCTATTTGAAAGATTTTGCTAGTATAAACTGTGCTGCTATAAGCATAGGTATGTATATATCACTACAATATGATGTCTTTAACCCTCTCAGGAAGATACCTAAAAGGAAAATAACTGGATCAAAAGGAATCTGTAGCTTTAGTTTTTGGTGAATCTTCCTATTGTTTTACATACGGATTGTACAAGTTTACTTTCCAACAAAGTAGGAGGGTTCCTCTCTCCCTTCAGCCTTGCCACTCTTTGTTATTATTTATTTTATTGATGATAACTATTATTTTGTAGTAAGCAGTATTCAATTTCCATTTTCCTAATGGTCAGTGATGTTGAATGTGTTTTTCATTTTGTGTGTATTTATTAGCAATTTGTACTTCTTCTGAGAAATGTCTATTCATTTAACTGCTCACCCTACCTGGTGTATTCATTTTATTGGACATTTGGGCATTTTTACCTTAATTTTTTTCTTTCTAGGATACCCTTCAGAGTTTTTTGGAGTGAAGGGTAGGTAGTTATGAATTTTTTCATATGCTCTTTATCATTAAAATATATTATTTCTCTGTCAGTTTTGAAATATGGGCTTGCAGGAGAAGTTAGTGAGCGTTGGCTGGAAGTGGTTGAACCACCTCACTTCCAGCTCTCTGGAACTTTTGGATTTGTGTTGAAAAGTCTACTGTAATTCTCATGGGTTTTCTTTTATAAGTGATTTGGTGCTTTTCTCTAACAGTATTTAGGATTCTGTTCTTGTGTCAGACTTCTAGGCTTATAACTGTATTGTGTCAGAGAAGGCCATGGAGAGGCAGCATTTGAGAACTTTACAAGCCCATAGGCTACAAAGCTAGGTGGAGAAAGTCACACCTTACTGGAATCCAAGATGGCAGCTTCTGGAAAGAAGCCACTCATTCAAAAACACAGAGGAATTCTTTTTTCATTTTCATCATCAGTTTTGGGTGCTCAGGTGTTTTTGTTCTTTTTTGGTAGCTAATTTTTTTCTCTTTTTCCCCCTTTATTTTTTCTTTTTCTTTTCTTTTTTATTTTTTTGTTGTTGTTCTCTGTTGTTTTCTTTCTTCTTTTTCTCATTTTTGTTATTGTATCTAATTGTACTAATTTCTTTTTACTCCTTAATATGACACATTATCTTACTTTTCTTCTCATCATTCCTTTGCTTAATTTTTCAGGTTTTACTTCTTTCACTCTCTTATTACCTATCCCCTCTATGTTTGTAGTGTATTAATCTTTGTAGTGCTATTGCTGTTTAATACTTTTTATTAGTAGTAAGGGTATAATTATTGCATTTAGTAGACATTTACCCTGTGTCAACACTTGATTTGTTTTAGTCTTTATTATTATATGACTTTTTTCTATGATTATTGGTGGTACATTATTAGTTCTTATAGTATATCAATACTGTTTATATTTGAAGCTATTACTGTTGCTCTAGTCAGGGTGGCAGAGGTGTTACTATTAATTGGTTTTCTCTGTATGCTAGTATCTGGATTGCTTTTGTGTCATTTACAATAATGTGTGTGTTCTCAGAAAACTGGATCCTGGACCAATTACACTGCAGACTCCCCTCCCAAGTTAATGGGTATTTTTAGCTCTCAGTATAGAGGCAAAAACCATGGTTAAACACACCCCAAGAGAATTACAGAAAAATACACACTAACTAAAAAGTTCTCCATAGTATGCAGGACAAAGTCTTTTACCATTCCACTTATAAGACATTCTTGAAATAATAAAATTATAGAAATCATGATTGGTTAGTGGTTACAGCCATTAAGGAATTACTTAATGGAATAAAGTAGGCATAGATGTAGATAGCAACCCCATGGATCCATTTGGTTATGGAACTGTACTGTATCTGAACTGAATCAATGTTAATTTCCTGCTTTTGATAGTCTTCTAGTTTCAGGGCCAGGAAGATAGCTCATTGGCCTAAGCGCCTGCCTGGCAAGCACAAGGTCCCAAGTTTGATCACTGGTACTGCAAAAACAAACAACAACAACAAAAATCTGGTGAAATAGTCTTCTAGTTTTATAACATCATTTTCAGACAACTTGGTAAACATTATACAGTATATTTCAGTATTGTTGTTTACAACTTCATGTGAATTATAATGATCTAAAAATTAAAAGTTCAACTTAAAACAACTTTGCTTTAAAAAAAAAAAAAGTAGGGATAGTTGTTTAGAGGTATACTTCAGTTTTTAATGAGAACATCATCTTGTTTCTCCTCCAGAGAAAATTTTTCTTAGCTCGTGTGCAAGTCTACATGGAAGACACAGGACAGTAGACAAGTTAACACTGAAGAAGACTTCATAACCTATGTCTGCCACTAAGTCCAAAGTGAAAAGTTAACTTTGGGAAAAAGAAATCATAACTTAAACTAGAATGAACATTGAAGTACTGTTTGAAGTACTAGTCAGCCATAAAGAAAGATAAATTTGAGTCATGTGTAAGAAAGTGGGTGGATCTTGAGGCCACAATGCTAACTGAAACAAATCAG